CTGAAAGCTTTCCCACATTGCTTACATACATATGGTTTCTCCCCAGTGTGAGTTTGTTCATGTCTTTGACAATAACTAAGTGTGCTGAAAGCTTTCCCACATTGCTTACATATATAGGGTTTCTCCTCAGTGTGGATACTTTCATGTATTTTACAATGCCTCTTTGTCTTGAAAGCTTTCCCACATTGCTTACATACATAGGGTTTCTCTGTAGTGTGAGTTTTTTCATGGGCTTGACAATGACTGCGTGTGTTGAAAGCTTTCCCACACTGCTGACATACATAGGGTTTCTCCCCAGTGTGAGTCCTTTCATGTATTTGACTGTTACTGTGTGTGCTGAAAGCTTTTCCACACTGCTTACATACATAAGGTTTTTCCCCAGTGTGAGTTTGTTCATGTGCTCGACAATGACTCTTTGTGATGAAAGCTTTCCCACATTGCTTACATACATATGGTTTTTCCCCAGTGTGCGATTTTTCATGTCTTTGACAATAATTGTGTGTGCTGAAACCTTTCCCACATTGCTTACACACATAGTGTTTTTCCCTAACATGAAGTCTTTCATGATTACCAAATGAATTGTTTAATGTTTTCCAACTGTTTTTATTTACATATGATTTTGTTCTAGTGTGAGCTCTTTCATGTTTCTGGATATCATGGTGAGAATTCAATTCTTTTCCACATTGTATACATATGTAGGTATTCATGTTACTGTGCTTTCTTTCCTGGATTTGAACATGGTTGGCTGTACTGAAGGCTCTAATATCTTGCTTATATACAAAGGATTTCTCTTTAGCATTATTTCCTTCAGTGCCATCAGAGTAGAACTTTTCACATTGCTTATATCTATAAGGGTTTTCTTCAGGATTTGTCTTTTCATGTTTCTGAAAGGACTGAAAGTCAGTGGAAGCTTTCCCATGTCTATAATATTTAGATAGCTTCTGTTTAAATCCACGGAGCTCATATGATTTAAGTCCAGTGTTATTTATGATGGGCACAGTTGGTGATGAATGACCAATCAGAGGCTTTCCACATTCAAGGCTTTCACTTGGTTTTACACCTAGCAACTTCATGGGCACATCTGGACCAGGAGTCACACAAACCATTTCTCCATGTTGACACCGTAATTTATCTTGACAGCATTTATCTGCATCTGCACTTCTGTGAAAGAAAGAAATAATAAAATAACCAGTCACGGGCCAGGGATTCAGCACAATGGCACCTTGCCTGCCTTGCAAGTGCAAGGTCCCGAGTTCAATCCCTGGTACCAAAAAGACCAAAACCAAAACCAAACCAAACAAAAAACCAGTCACATTCAAAAATGTCTTTATATTAATGGTTTACCAGGAAGAGATCTGCTTTGATGCTATGTAGGCATATTTGATCATCAATTTACTGTACATGCTGGATGATGGGTTAGAAACACCTTTCTCTAAAGCAATATTCATTTGGGAGTTGAAAATTGATATGTTTGTACTACATACAGTTAACTTACCTTTTGAACAATTGGTACATATGTATACCATATGTTGATTATTTTTCATATGCTTTTCCTCCATGACTTACCTTTCCCCTACCACTGAGCCTCTTCACCCTCTTCAAATTATCTGCCTGTTTTTTCTATCATCTCTTGTTCATTTTACTTAATTCATATTCTGCATTTTTCATACAAAATAGAACACATGATATTGAACTTATCTCATTTAATGTAATATGGGTTCCAGATCCATGCATGTCTTGAGAAATGCTATCTTTTCATTCTCCTTTATGGCAGAATACCATTCCATTATATATACACCTCACATCATTTTCAGTGCTGGAGACTGACCTCAAGGTTTCAGCAGTGAGCTACATTCTCAGAGTTATTATCTTTATTAAGAGATGAGTCTCATCAACTATTAAGTTCTCCAGGCTGAGCATGAATGTGCCTCAGCTTCCCAATATGCTGCATCCTGTCCAGGCTATCTCATTTTTCATTTCTACTCATCTATGAATGAGCATCAAGGCTCTTTTCAGAGCTTCACTTTTAGAAGTTTTACTGCTACAAACAAGAATATACATGTATCAGGGCAATATTAACTTTGGGGGAATACACCCAGTAGAAGTATAGCTGAATAAAATGGAATTTCCACTGTTACGTTTTTGAGGAAGGTCTATACACATTTCCATAGATTTATATACAATGATATTCCCACCAACATTATGGGAAGATGTTTGCTAATACTGTATTTCTCAAGATAAATAGACTAAATGCTCTTGAGGATTGCTTGAAAACAGCTATTATGAAACCAGGGTATTCATTTGGATTTTGAAGGTTACCAACGCTGCAAATACTGAATGTATATACCACATTTAAATACATACAGTGTTACTTATGTAATTTGTTTGATAAAAAACCAGTCTTTTGAAAACACAATATATAATTAGATATCCTGCACTTGGCTCTCAACTAAACACAAATTTTTTTTTGGTACCGGAGATAGAACTCGGGACCTTGCGATTGCAAGGCAGGGGCCGGAACCACTGAGCAACATCCCCGGCCCAACCCAAATCTTTTACATGTACCAATAATCAATGCCTATATACAATTTCATATGATTTTATAACCTTGAGTGTGGAAAATGATTTGTTATTATACATTAGATAATGTCACTAGTGGCATAATGTCAATATTACTTACATTTTTTAAATACTGAGATATTTCAAATACTTAATTGTCCAACTCTAGATACTAAACATATATGCATTTTTGGAGAAATTTTGTGCAATTAAAGAAACTTGAGGGCTGGGGATTTAGCTCAATGGTTCCGGCACCTGCCTTGCAATCACAAAGTCCTGAGTTTGAGCCTTGGTAACAAAAAAAAAAAGAAAGAAACTTGAACATGGCCTCATTTTGTTTGAGTTTTTAAACAAGGTCTACCTACATAGTTCAGGCTGGCCTTGAACTCCTGGCAATCCTCCTGCCTAAGTCACCCAAGTGCTGGGAATACTGGCACATGCCACCATGCCTGGCTCTTTGAATTTTTTTAATATGTCCTCATTTATGTAGTTTGCTTGGTTTTAGTATTTCTGACCTTTGAGGATCATTGTTGTGGGTGCAAATTACCTTAGATTTGTCCAGTAATTTCTGTACTCATCTTCAATTTGCTGATCATCACACTTTCTTCCTAAAGTATAGAAAAAGAAATGTAATGATGAGTAACTATATTACACAAAATTATTGGCTTCCAGTTAAGATTCATGGTATAATGTGACCATGCCTGGAAAATTTATGAAAATATTTTCATATTTCAATAAAGTAAATGGTGCTGATGAGGAATAACCAATACCCTCTGATTGCATAAATGAGAACTGATATCTTCCTTACCTATAGAGGCCACATTCCTAAAGTTCTCCCACATCACATCTTTGTGGAGCTTCTTCTGGAATGGATCCAACAAAGCCCACTCCTCCATGGTGAAGTCCACAGCCACATCCTCAAAGGTCACTGCCTTCTAAATCATCAGAAATATATTTCCAAAAGAAAAGTGAGACTCACAACATGAAATATCTCAAATCTACTGATTTGTTGGTGGATGTTGTACTATGAAAATTATTGAACAGTGTGTATTCTTAAGAAAAAGAAATCATTTTCATCTAACTTGATAATATGATGTCTAATACATATATTATTCATTTAATAAGCTAGCTGTTTAATGATTGGTCAGACTTACGACTGAGACACATAGTTAACACAACTCGCTGGTCAGACTTATGGCCTGTCTTTTTTCTTTTTAATTTTAATTAAATACCTTTATTATCAAACACACACATACAAAAAATTAAAACCATTTAAAGAAGAACAATGCAAGGGAAAAAAAACTACAATAATATTCAAATGCAGTAGAAGTCAACCAAAATAAAACTGAAAAGCACTTAAACATTTTTCCATATAACTTAAAAAAGCATCTCAAGCACCAACAAGACACCAGAGGATGTGATTTGTTTCAGAAAGATCCCCCAAACCAACACTGAACAAATAACGATCTGGAAAAAACTAGTTAGTTAGCAGGCTCCACATAAGCCAAACTTCTCCCTAATTTAAATTTCGATACAGTCATATAATCTGAGAAATATGTTATTAGGCCATTTCATCTGTGTGTGTCTTTAATTACACTTTCAGTTTCTCAGACTAGAGAAACTATTCTGTATTTACACATATGTGTCCTATTTATTTCACTTAAGAGGATGGCCTCAATATGCATCCATTTAGCTATAAATGTCTCTAGTTTCTCGTTCTTTATGGGTGAATAGTATTCCATTTTATTAAAAAACCACATCTTCTTCATCCAGTCTCCAGTTGATGGGCACTTGGGCTGTCTCCAAGCTTTCGTTATTATAAACTGTGCAGCTACAAACACGGGTGCACATATATTGCTGTGGTAAGATTCTTTTAATTCTTTTGTGAAAATACCCAGCAGGGGGAGAGCTGGGTCGAATGGGACCTCTAAGCCTAATTCTTTGAGGTATCTCCATACTGATTTTCACAGTGGTTTGCACCAGCATGCACGCCCACCAACAATGGAGAAGGGTTCCTTTCTCCCCACAACCCCTCCAGCATTTGTTATTGGATGATTTTTTAATAACAGCCATTGTTTCTGGGGTGAGGTGGAATCTCAGTGTTGTTTCCATCTGCTTCTCTCGAATGACCAGTGATGTTGAACATTTTTATATATATATATTTGCTGTTTTTACTTCTTTGTCTGAGAAATGTCTGTTCATTTCAGATGCCCATTTTTGAATTGGGTCTTTGAATTTGGGGGGTCTGATTTGT